CTCGAGCAATTCGGTTGCTTGTCGAAGATTTATGCCCCATTTTGCTTCTATGAATGCATGTGAGTATTATTCTCTCAATTCCTACAGTGTTCGGGGAAGTTTGAATGTAGCATAAGTTTGACTCACGCTAATCTTTCGAGTATGCACAAATTGGTCGTGAAATTTAGAGCGAGAGCAGACGTTTCGAAATTACACTTTATCATTTTCAAAGTAAATGAATACATCTACAGTTTTCTTTTCTTTTCTTTTCTTTTAATATGCATAATATGATAGCTTGAAGATGTAGAATATTTGTAGTATGTTTATTCGCATCAACAAGATTTTAAATTTTTGTGTATTATAGACAAAAAAAAATTCATATCTTTATGCAAAAAACATGCTTGCAAGTTGAATGGCATTATAACAAATTATAGTAGATTTAAAATTTAAATTTACATGAAATATTAAAAGGTTTTATTCAAAGATAGATGCTTTTATTGATATTTTATTATAATTATAAGAAACTTGTTGAAGTTTATTTTCATATAATTAGGAGTACTAACATTATACATGGACATTGTTATATATTTCAGGTTTGGAACAGAAAACACAAGCTTCTTAATGAAGGAATTATCAATATATATATATATATATATATATATATATATATTATTATTATTATTAAAACATCAAATTTTCTATTTTTTACTGATTCAAAGTAAATAAGAATTGATTGAATAAAATTGATTTGATAAACATAAAATGTTTTTAATTTTATTTCCAAAAAACTAAATAATAATTTATTTCTAAAAAATATATTTAACTAATTTTTAATAATTAATACATCTCTATATATCTGAGTAGGATAGGATTTTAGTATTATATCTAACTTGAAAATATTATAGTAATTTTTAACTTTTAATCCAAATTCCAATGTGGCATAATTTTAAATAATCTTAATTAGTGGTTCTATATATTAGCATACATTTTTAAAAAATAAACGTAAATAAACATGGTATAGACCTTTTATTAGATTATTGATTAAAAAGAACTAAAAGTCAAGAAATAACAAAGTCAATATTTGTGTGATTAATTTATTTATCTTTGTAATTACACCAAAAATATTTAAAGTGGAGTTAATATGAAGAAAACATTGTGCTTATAAATCAAATTATAGTATAGTGCCTACAGAAAATACCAGAGTTCATATTCGAAATCTACAACAAAAAATTTAACCTATAACTTTATTTTTTTTATATTTGATTAAGTAACAATTGTATAGATGGCAACATTTAGATCATTTTGTAATATAAAATTTGTATTATAGTTTCTTAACTTGTGCAGCAGTGCATGAAAGGCATGTGAAGGTGGTGGATGGTTGGAATTGATTTTTTTGTAAATTTGATTATTTGAATTTGTTTATCCGTACACATTGTTCACCTCTACATTATATTGTATGTAATGATATCAATTAATGTTCAGCACTTATTGTACTTGAGCTAAATTTTTTATAGCTAATCACTCTTAGCCTTAAGATAAACTGAAATTTCATGCTATTTTCACCATTTATTTTGGTGGTTTAATTTTTTTTATTTATTACTTAAAGAAGTTAATTTTTTTCTAAAATCATGTTATTTGCAATACTTTTATACAAAGAAAATTAAGAAATTAGTTTATAGCAGTTATTATTGATATCTTTAGATATTTCTTATTCATTAATAGAGATTTTGTTGCAAAATTTATTTTTTGGTAAATTTGATTTTTCTCAATTTTTTGGATTGCATATATGATTTGAAAAAAAACATAGTTTTAAATTTAAAGCCAATGAAACAAATCAATTAAGAGTTGATGTCTAGTTTAGTTCATTGGTTGAAGTTTAAAGTTTGATTAGGCTTTTTTTCTTTTTGGCTTTGTTTAAATTTTTTAGAATTATTAGGATTTAAATTTTAGTAGAATATAGGTTTCAAAGTTGATAAGAAACAGGTTTTAAAATTGATAGGATTTAGATTTTAGAATTAATAGAACATAGATTTTAGAGTTGATAGAGGATTGATTTTACAGTTAATAGAATAAAGATTTTAGAGTTGATAAAGTAAAGGTTTAAAATTGATAATGATTAATGGATTTTAGAATTAATAGAATATAGGATATAAAATTGTTTAGATTTAGGATATTTAAGAGAATTAAGATTCTTAAAAAGAGAGTTTTTAAGCACATTATTCTTTTTTATTATAAAAATTCTTGACAATAGAAAATATTCTTTTACAAATAGATGCATTTACAAATCATACTTCACATTATATGAAAACAAATTTAAGTATTAATTCAAAGTATGTTAATTCAAATTTGTCTCACCACATTTGTATATTTGGTTATAGCAATTATCTATTCTATACTTTGCTACATAGTACTTGTCATTGCTTAAAAAGAAAATATTTTTTTAGTTGCTGCAGCCTATTGTTCTCAAAATAAGTCCACCATAAATTTTTTATTTTATTTTTGCTACAACATTAAAAAAAATCATTCATGTATTCATATTATTCCTCTAAAGCCTTTCTTCTCTTCTAAAAACTTCAATATTTTCATTACATTGGATTGCCATTGTAGGCATTTAAGTATTAATTGTATGTAATGTTTTTCAAGGAATCTCTTAACTTGAAGTAATATATTAAATTTAGAAATCATTAATCCATAGCTTAGTACTAATGGTTTTTGGTTATCTTGTTTATGATTACAACAATTTTTTAGCATGGATTTTTTTTTTTTTTTTTTTTTTTTTTTAAAAAAGTTCTCCTTCTATCAGCATAGAGATTATTGGTAACTTTCAAACAACTAATAATAAATTTAATATTCATATGAAAAATCTAAAAATAAAAGTTTCCATTCATAAAACTTACTATGTAATATATTTCTATAAATTATTAAGACACTTAATACAAATCTACAGATTTTAATGTGTATGTTCTTTGAAAATATATAACTTTTGTATAAAAAGAGCTAACATTTGCCATCAAAAAAAATATTTTCATAAATCAAGACCTATGGATTCTATTAAGCAAAAGAAGATAATATACAAAAAAATTACAATAGATTTTATATTATTAGAGATAGAAAACAACAAACACCATAGAAGTTTTTATGGCAACATCAAATATATATGTTATTATATTGTAAAACCATCATTCTGAAATCATTGTCAAATCTTATGTTTATAATCTATATCATCTCTAAAATGAATTTTTATCCACAGAAGCTCTATGTCACTTAAAAGACCTACTATAGTATTGAGTTTTTGCTGTTGATGATTTTCTTCAACAATCTCCAGTCATAGATATGGTCAACTTATCAAACATTGGTTGTAATCTAATTGCAATCAAACTAAGTAAACCACACAAATTCTCTTCTATATATAAAATATATTCTTTTAATTGTAAATGAATTGAATTAATTGCTCCAAAAAAAACCAAAAGCACAAATCAAGGATTTTTTTATTTTCACCTCTTCAGTCAATTGATTGTTTATTGTTTTTTTCAATTGCTTCAAGTTTTGATTGTTGAGTACTTTCTAAAAAGCATCAACAAAGAGAATATAATATTAGAGGGTCTTGTGATCCACTTTTTAGAAGCTTATACAAAAGGCTTTATACAACAGTAGAACTACACCTTGGAATAATGGCTTTTGTAGCGGCTATTAGAACTTAGAAGAATAGACTTGTAAAGTTTGAATAAAATAAAATAAAATATCATGATAAATATTAAAATAGGTGGATATAAAAAGATAGATGACACTTTGAACAAATCCACTCATATAGACACCACTGTAAGGTTTAGGATTTAAGATTTAGAGTAAACTCTAAACCAAGTTTATAAACATACAAAAATTTGAACAAAAAAAAATCTAGGAATAATAAGTGAATCTTGCTCATAAGATAATCATGAAACAATGCATGTAAGCTATTGTGAGCTTAATTTCCAATAGGATGATTTTGTAATAAATCCCAAATAGAGCCAAAAAATATGACATAGTGGTCATGAGCTTCCTTCAACATCTCTTCCAAAGCTACGAATTTGACATCCTCTTAATCTTCTTTGTTCATCTTAATGACATATTGTTAAGTGATTTACATGATTGATTTTTCTAAATATAATGTCATACTATAATTCTAAAAGAGTTGAAAACATATCATTCTTAAACACACACCACAAGTGAGATGTGCCACCATGCTACTATAGAAGCAAGCAAAGAGCTACTCACATAGGAGCAAACAAAGTATAGAGTTGCTTCAATTTGCGGCCATGTATATGGTAGGGCTTCTCCACATAGAAGCATCTTCTTTATTTCTCATGACTTCCAAACTTTTGAACCATCTTTACAAGGTGAGTTAGCTCCACCAAAGTAGCATTCCACCATGTGTAAATTTGAATCTTGTCATTTGGTTCTTTTCTTCAAATAAAGTCTTTGACAATGTGGTGCCCCCCATTGTGCAACACACTGGACACTCCATGTGCCTCACTCACTCCAAACACTTGCACACCAAACATGAAAACCACCTACAATCTTGTTGCCTACAAATTGAGAATGCAAGCTATGTCAACGTCCCAAAAGGAAGGGATTTCTTTACCTTTGTAAAGACTTGGAGCAGTAGAGGGTAGGTCTGCAAAACACACATGCACTATACTAATTAATGCAATCACAACTCCATCGTGCATCTCCCTACACAAAGCCCACCTGACATTTGCTTGTCTGCTAGCATCCTTCTTCTCCTTGTGGATTATGTTGTAACAATGTGAACTCTCTACATAGATTGGTTGCAATTGGGCACCTTCTTAGGTTTTATGAACAACTTCCAAAGATGTTTTGAGCAACATTCAATCATGATGTTGTGCAAAGTATTTCCTTACTCTTAGTGCTCTTGGACATTTCAAGACACTTTTATTGTCATGTGAATTGGCATGGCAATGGTTCTGTTAAAGCCATGTGAACTTCACTTTTGCTTCACTTTTGATGAAAAATTATTCGAGCTCTGGGGGGCATGCATGCAGTCAAGACTCTGGACTCGAGGATGAAATCAGGTCTTGGGATCGATCCTGACTGGAGGCAGACTGCACGCCTCGCTGTGGGCACTCTTACGGCACGTAGAACCAGAGCTCCAGTTTGATTGAGACGACGTTCGTGATGTTTCACGAGTTGGGTGGTGACGACGGAGCTCGCGTTGGTGGTGGTGAGGCGCAGTGGTGCAGGAAGGGGAGATTCATGAGGGTGCTGTTGAGGTGGGTTGGGGCTTGTACCCACAGAATCGTGTTTGGAAGGCACCCATTGCATCTCGTGCTGTTTTGAAGGTTTGAAATTTGTCTTGGGGATGGGAAGATTGTGACCCCTTCGGAGGAGGGTTTCTCATGAGATTGTCTCTCTGTTTTGTCGATCCCCTTCGTCTCATTTCTCCGCTGTGACTATGGGATTGTGGATTATTCACCTGTGGGCGACTTTCATTCTGATATGGATTGTTACCATCACTCTCTATCCTTTTTTCAGACAGGTCGCGGATTTCCTGAACGTTCTGGAGCAACGCCGAAGGCAGGGAGGGTGAGGGGGACCATAGAAGCGCTCACTTTCTGGGCACCGATTCGTGCTGCAATCTGTGCTGCAAGTCAAAGTGACGACCAGTCCTGCTTTTGGTCTCTAGTTTGGTTTAGTTCAGATTTTCTGGTTTTTTGCTTTTTCTTTTTCTGTCTTATTTATTTTTTTGTTCTTCGCCTTCCCTGGATTGACTGTATTAATTTCCCCATGATTGGTATAAATTAGACGTTAACTTGCTCTATCTTTCCAACCACACTAAGTTTCTCCCCTCATGCAACTAGTTGTGCTGTGCAATTTGGCTCAATCACCTGTGCTTGTAAATAATGTCTGTTCTAACATGAATGTGTTTGGAGAATCTTTTCATGTTTTTGTCAATTTTAAGAGTAAGGTTCAGAGTGAAGATTGTTAATCCGGGTGGCGTATGATGAGAGTGATATTTTACAATGATAATGTCTACTTTTTCCAAACAGTAAACTCATCAATAGACAATCCTAACATAAACAATATATCAAAACAAATTGGGTCTTAAGGCTGATGCCTCCAAGAAGAGCAGGGTCATTCCTTATTTCTTGTATTTTTTCATTTATCTTTTCTTTTTTTGAGGCTCTTTGCTACCTCCCTCTTTTATTACTTCATTCCCTTACCTTTTATTGAACTTTGAATTAAAATTGTTTATCACCCGTTTACTTTGAATGTATTCAAGAGCAGAGCTCAGTACATATATGCCTTATCAGCAGTTTATTGGTTTCTAAATCTTTAACTCACGGATGAATTCCCCATGCCTCCCGTAGTTACTTTCCAAAGAAAATTGTGATTGACGACTTGGGCAGGCAAGTTATGCGCTGGGAGCTGAAGGAAATCGATGGGGGTGATACATCTGCATAGGGGCTAGAAGGCGAAGAGTTTTGTGAAGGTTTGGACATCATGAAGAACGTTGTTGACGTTGCTGATGCCGAAGGTAATCTCACTTGGATCATCTCATCACTGAGCTCTGCTATTCCTGCACAAGAATGGATAACCCTAATAAGTCATTCGGCCTGGAGAAAGTCTTGTGCGTTCCAGGCATCCCCTACCTTCATGCAATTCGTCTTCTCGTATTGAAAACACTAGTGGTCGAGTGATTAGAGCATCGTCCAGATCTTCACCTGGTAAATTAGATGAGTTCACCATCAATATTTCAACACTCGCTGTTGCAAAAGCTCTCACCTACCTTATCCCATCTCAGAACACCAACACAAATGGTCATCAATCTGTGAAAACAGTAATCAATGTCAAAGCCAAGTGGGTATCTTCACATGATTTCAGTTTTCAATCTTCAGGTTATCAGATCTGAATTTCCAAGCTGAATGATTGATTCACTGCCTGATTTGCAGTTGCGCTCACGGAGGATGACTTCATTGTACCTATTTTTAAATGAAAATTTAAAATAACATTGTCACTATCTTATATGAATATTCTCATGAATTAGTAATTATGCTTTTCATCATGCTTTTCATTATATATTATTTGTGTAAAATTATTTTGTACAAGAAAAAACTATCTACATGTACAGCTTTCACTAAAATTAGTAGACTGTGATAAATAGCGATTCCAATTAAGTATTTGAATCCTAAAATATGTCCACAAAGATTGTATATGCAACTAATAATTTCAACTGCTACATTTTATATAATTGCAAGTCAAATTGACCTGGAAGTTAAGAAAAGTGCCTTTCAGTTGTTTACTTGAATAAATATTTTCAAAATAAAACTAAAACCAGAACTAAAAAAATTGGAGTGACAAATTTGTGTTTTTTTTTTTTTTTTTTTTTTTGTCATTTTGATGTTTAATATTCAGCATTTTTTTTAATCAAAAATTTTAATTTTTTAATATTTTAGTTTTCTTTCTTGTAGTTTTAAATTCATGTATGAAACAATGAGAGTTCAATCAACATTAATTAAAAGTCAATTTTACCAATAGCTTGAAGTTACCATCATGCAGCCAACCTCAACAACACACCTCCAAACTTGCCGATGTTAAATGAAGCCCTTGTTTCCACTAATGAATCCAAATTTCCTTAAAGAAAAAATATTAATAAAATTAAATTGCAATTCATCATGTGGGCAAGACCAGAAATCCCATAGGAACAAATTCAAGGGGAACCATCTCATGACAACCACCATTTTCCAATAGTGGAATGAATGGTGATGCCCACCTTCAGGGCACCAAGTGCAAGCCATTTTGCACGCTTCCAGTTCATTTTGCATTATACAACCTCAACACACATTTAACATGTTGTGTGTCACACATCCCATCCCCAGTCAAAAAAACAAAACTCAGAAGGAAAAGGAAAAAGAAAAAAGAAAAAGAAAAAGCCTATTCGATGAGATTCACATCCACATGGACAAGTATACACAAACAGATTTAATGTAAAAAAGCAGTTTCTGCTTCGTCACAAAAACACAAAAAAAACTCAATAAATGGAAACAGACAAAGGAGTTTAGGATAACACAAACAGTTTTGAATTAAAAGTAGTTTCTACTTCACAAAAACTCGACCACCCCAACAATGAAATAAAAAGAAGGAGATCAGGATAGAAAGCAACAAAGAGGTAATTTTCAATTTCTCTTTCCGAAAAGAACACACAAACTTGGGGTTTAGGAGTCCAGGAACATTCGGGGACTACCAACTCCGCCTCCACGGTGTGAATGCGTCCTGAGACCACGACGGTTCCAAATGAGAAAAAGCGCTGACTTGGCAAATCGCGATAACGTCCATTTCCCTCTGCCCCCCCCCCGCCGACGAAAAAGCATACCCGGTGGGAGCACTCCACGTGGCAGAAAAGAGTCCAGCTGGAGGGGTTTGACTGCGCAGCTGCCGTGGATAGGTGCCACGTCAACGCACGCTCGACGAAAGTGGCCTCATCTCGGATCGCGGAGGGAGTCGCGCAACTGTCGCTGTGTGTGCGATGGTGTATTTTGCGGCGATTTGAGTTGGCAATGCAGCGGCAAGCGAGTGACAAAGGAGCGATGACATGCATGGCTGGCTCGCATGCAAGAGGGGAGAACCTGGTGGACGTCACCTATGCCATCGCACGGTTTGGAACCCATCTCACCCATTGCGGCGTTTTCCCTAATCCCATTAATTCAAATCAAGAATTCCTTTCAGCTGGAGGTGGCAACCATGCACAGGATTATTAAGGTGTGGGCTAATCAGTCGCTACGCCGCTGTGCTTTTTGCCTCTGTCTCTGCCTTTATTTCCTCCTCCTTTGTTTATATCATTGGGTGGGTCATGCTTTCGACGTACATTACGTCAAGGAAATTCATTTCTAATAGCTGGGAGAGGTGGGAACGTGTCATGACGCACCGCTTATAGTCTCGTGCATGGCTTCTCTGCGCGACGGGATTGAACAAATTTGTGCATGGTTTCGGTGTTTGTTGCAGTTCTTGCGATTGAACCCTTGGGGGTTTAGTGACGGATCGTGCCGACGCTGAGGTTTGTGGAGTGGCGCTACTGCTGGCGGGATCGGTCTTGCAACTGGCATTGTTTTCGGGACTCGTTTGACGGTTTCTTGGGATACGTCGTCGACTCAGCGGTGAATGTCAATGGTGAGGGACTATGGTTAGACTTTGGTTTGAAATGCTGTAGTGTTATACGAGGGTAATTTTGCCTTGTCGGCCCTCCTGTACGATGTTGCAGAATCCTCGTAACTTGAACAGTCGGCGAGCGTGCTTTTTCAGCTTTCGGTGCGCTGGGAGTGTGTGTACGGAAAAGAGCCGAGACAATATCGGATGTGGGTGGGGTTGGTCTCTTCGCTAGCTCTGGTGGACTTGGATTCCTATATTTCCATACTAACACTGCTCTCATAGGTTATTTCGGGAGTATTCTCTGAGTCTGATTGTGCTTTATGTGGGCATGCCTCGGCTTCTTTGTCCTTTTGCATGGGTTCTACAGAACTAAGTAGTCGCAGGCGTGTCTCCTTACCATGATGCAAGTGTACGCTAAACGTGAACCTTCCGCTCTCGAAACTCTATTTGACCTTTGATTCTGGTGAATACGACTGCAGTGTATTTATATTTTTTTACTTTTTATCAAGCTTCGTTCTTCACCTTAAAGTGTACAGACGAGGATTAGAAAAATTGTTGCAACATGTTCTAACCCTATTGAATAAGAAAACTTGATTCTGAGAGAAAACGTTTTTGTGATTTGTAATGCTGATCAGTTTCCAGAAGTCGCAAACCTCCTGATTTCTTCACCTCTATGTGAACCTTTTTTTTTCGTGTGATAAGTTTATTTTAGTGGGGGAAGGATTGCCTTGATATCTCATATCGTTAAGAACCGAAAAGGCTTCGATCTTGTTGTTCCTACACTTCTGGGGATGGGTGAACAACCAGAGCTGCCGTCGCTCATTGGCACTCCATCTTTTACATTAGACTTGTATTCCCAAAATATACAATTTCAACACATGGGGAATGTGGCTGTGCTAACCTGAATTTGTGGTGGTTTTAGTCTTTCAAGTGCTTTATCAAGACTTTTCCTTAACTCACCACCTCGGCCGGTATTTTTAGGGACTACGAAGTACGTCTTGAAAGCTTAAGACGAATGGTCAACTGAATTCTGCTGCAATAATGTTAGCATGTGCTTTTGCTCATTGATGAACTGAGGACTACGCAAGCCACAAACGTCTTCCAATTCATTTCGCCTCGTCGACACTTCACCTCTCACAACAAAAGCTCCATTTTCTTTCGGCTCAGTGATTGTAGTGTAAGATGACGATTGGCAAAGAATTCACGGAGCCGCTCATAAACGGGGAATTGAATCCTCCACCTATTACCCCCGCCGTGTTCACCATTGCAGAAAATTATATTGCTGTCACTCGGCCCTTAAGTGATGGACTCGGAAACAACCCAGTGAGCCACGACCCTGAGGAGAAGGCCACCTCTCAGTGGGTGTGGGGAGAGGTTCGAGAGCAGTGCTGGCTAGCTGGTCCTATCATGGTCATGTATATGTTGCATTATATTATGGCCATGGCTGCAACAATCTACGTCGGTCATCTTGGATCGTTCCCCCTGGCTGCAGTGACGTTGGCCAACACCTTCTGCAGCCTGACGGGATTCACCGTGTTGGTAATTACACTAACCTATATCGCTTGGAACTTTTGCATAGATACTGATGAAATATGTTCCATCATATGTATCTTTGACCTCTAAATTTGTGCTCGCAGGCAGGATTGTCCAGCGCCCTTGAGACGCTATGCGGGCAAGCATACGGTGCAAAGCAGTATCACTTGCTTGGGATCTACTTGCAACGTGCTGCTTTCTTCCTCACAGTTTGTGCAGCTGTACCCATCGCCCTCATTTGGCTTAACATGGAACGCATCCTTGTGGCCATGGGCCAGGATCCTGAAATTGCCCATGCTGCACACACCTACGCGTTCTGGTTATACCCAATCTTAATTTTGTACTCAATTTTTTTTCCAGTCATCAAATTCTTTCAGACGCAGGGGGCGGTGTTTGAGTTAATGGTGTGCTCGGCGATGACTGTTTTGTTCCATGTGCCACTCTGCTGGTTCATTATCGACAAACTCAACGTGGGCTACAAAGGTGCAGCGTTAGCCACCAACATTTCTATGCTCATTGATTTGAGCTTTTGCTTTGCGTTTATAAGATTTTCACCACGATTTGAGAAGACTTTCTCTTCTTTCTCCTGGGACGCATTTCAAGAACTCGGGGAGTTTTTTAGCCTCGCTCTACCGTCCGCGACAATGATGTGGTATGTATTTCGTTCTCACTTGATCCTATATATTTGGTGGCTTAAGCATCTTTATAGTTTCAATTCGAAACTCTTAAAGTAGCCGTCCCTGGTATTGATGGTGTATTTCCCCCAAGGTTACTTTTTCTTTAGGAAGGTACATCAACCTCGTCGAGCAAAACATGCTGAAATCGGCACCATACGGAAAATCGAACTTGTTGTTCATAATCTTTTGTACGAAGAAGTTCGGAGTAATACGCAAATCTACCAAGGTTTGCGTATGACTCAGTTTCACTTCTGCCACAGAAATTGAATAAAATCACCTAACGATTTTGAGGTGTTGTTCTCTTTGATGAAACAGTTTGGAACACTGGTCGTTTGAAATTTTGACGTTTCTGGCGGGGGTGCTTCCGAACTCCAAACTAAATATCTCTTCTTTTGCCATTTGGTTAGTCGCCTGGCACTTTGCTCATTTAAATTTCAGTTCTTTTCTGTACTTTTGCTTAATCTAGGTGCACCAATGCAAAATATTTTTTGAGTCAAATATGTGATTGTAAAATTTGGGGCCGATAGATCTGCAGCAAACTAACGGAGTCAAGTTGCTAATATTTTCAGTATGGGGCTATTGTCATTGGCGAATATGACTACGCTTGCATTCGGCTCTGCAACGAGGTAATTTTTTTGGATGTTCGAATGCCTGAGACACTGTGTTAATTTAAGGTCGTTTATCTGTCCTAGGGTGAGTAAATTGGATGGATGAAAGTTATGTTTGAAAAGAATTTAAGCATCTGCATGATATTTTTTCATCAAATGAAGTAGTTTTGTTCCCGTCAAGACGATACGGATCATCGAATGAGCACACCAATCTGGTCCTCTTAAAAGTGCTTGCTGGTTTTGCAGCGTGAGAGTTTCAAATGAGTTGGGAGCAGGGAAGGCGCATTCTGCACGCTTGGTTGTGGCTGTATCCGTGGCCCTTGGGATAGTCTATGGTTGTGTAATGGCTAGTCTCATTTACTCACTCCGTGATGTTTGGGGATGGGCATTTACTAACGACTTCGAAGTGGTGAATCATGTAGCCCATGATGCACCTCACCTCGCAATACTTGCGATTCTTTATGGCATTGGGGCCATTCTGTCAGGTATGTGGGCAGTGTTTGGGTTGTTCAATTTTCCATAGGTGATCTTTTAAGTCTTTCGAAATATTAACAAGGTTATGCTTACTCCAAGTGAGTTAATTGAGTACGATAGTTATTACTTAGAATTTGGATAGAATAACACGAAGAAAGTTTGAAAACAATTTTGTTTAACGTTTCTTTAGCATTGTTTGCAGCCCCGGTTCTTTGGAGTGTGGACAGTTGTTGAATGCTTCACTTATCTTCGTCATAAACATAAAATGTTCGAGACTGACAATATTTTTGCAGAGATTAAGAAGAGTTGACAGTCACGCTGGAAATTATCAGCAACGAATTGCCATGTACCTGACACATTCTTCCTGGTTTGTAGGAGTGGTAAGAGGTATTGGATTCCAACGAACTGGTGCTATTGCCAACTTGGGAGCCTACTACGCCATTGGATTACCTGTTGCCTTCATCTCGGTCTTTGTGTTCCGTTCTGACTCATGGGTATGTTCACAGCGTCCAACAACTCTGATTGTGGTCAAATACTCCGTTTAATGATAGTTGGAAAGCCGTGTTTTATGTTCAACGGTGTTCAGTGCTATACAAAATATTTGGTTGCCAACTTGCGCAACATTTGAGAAACTTTGTCAGAAACTGCTATTTCCTTCCAACCAGAATTAGTAGACAACGACTGCAGTATGTGGTGCTGATATTGAACTGTTTTGTTTGGCATTTTAGGGATTATGGCTGGGTATGGGTTGTGGCCTTGTGATACAAGTAATATGCTTCATGTATATCATTCTATGTACAAGCTGGGATCAACTGGTGCGAGCCCAACCTAAACTCTATTGCCATCTAAAGGACGTTTGATGTAGCCTTGTGAGAGAAATTTTCGATAAATGAAGATAAGTAATTAGTCTGATTAATCATTTTGGCTACTTTTGGTTGCAGGCAGAGGAAGCCATGCTGCGATCACTTTCCTTCGATTCACGGCTACCGATCTTGGCACCACCTGTGACAAAGGTGCGTATGTCAATCAAGTACACGCTATAGCTCTATCAGAGACCAGTGCATTTGAAGCTAGTCATTACATTCGCGAGCTGTATTGTTGCACCTTGGAAATAACTTCTGTTTGTGAATGGATACTTGGAAACTGGTATTTGATTCGATGAAAAATTCTTACATGGGTCATGTTCAGAGCGTTCTGATAACGTGGTTTTCTTCGTTGCAGCCACTTCTAGAGGACAGCCGTTCACTGGAAGACAATCAAAGATTCTCCACCCAATCATAGATGAGCTCTAGCTCTCCACGTTTATTGAAGAACTCTTTGAAAGAGGTAGCATGCATTATGCACACTAGGTAGTCCATCTGACTTAGTGGATCAAGTGTACAGAAATACGGTATATAAATTGTACAATGCAACTGCTCAGAAGCAAACGTCTAGGTGTTACAGAAATCTGCCACAATTGAGTTTTGCTTTAGCTCCTGAATGCTCTCAGGTGTCATGAGCAGAACAAGATACAGCAATCATATCATGTTGTGAGGCCCTTCAAAATGAATCTATTCTAAATTATCCATTTCAGAGTCTCACTCTCAAATTGGGTAGTTGATATCTCTTTGTGTAGGTTGTTTTGTCAATCTAGGGCTGCATTCTTCAACCTTGAAGATCTTTAATAATATATCAACCGTGTATCAATCTTTTCAATTGTTACTTCAGTAGGAGTAGCTATACAAAGGTCACTAAAACTTTAAAAGTCAAGGAAAGCACTTGGAAGTAATACCATAGGTGTTGTATTGATCGAGTCATAGAAGATGTTGCCATTCGTTGAACTTACAAGTTTTGAAGTATTTAGTTTATAACATTCTCAAAAATAGTTCTAAAAAATATTCAAATTAAAAATAAAATGATAAAGTTTTTTCAAATGATAGTGATGTACTTAAATTTCTAATTTTATATTTTCTATTTTCTTTCTTTTTCAAATAAAGCACTGTCAAAAAGAGAAACCTATTCTTTATAATAGTACAATATGTTCTGAATACATGCCGAATGATTTAACAATAACTGATACAAAAAGTTGAGATCGTATCTGTAAGTTACTTTTAAATATAGATAATAATTGAAGTGCATACATGAACCAGAACAAAAGAAGAATCATATAATAATAATGATAATAATAATATGATATGACATGATTTGTGATTTTTTAACTATTTAGTTTTTGTTACGGACCATATTCTTTGCAAGCCCCCAGAATGTACAAAAAAATATATATATATATATATATATATATCAGAAGAATATAAAAAAAACTTACAATATTTTTGAAAATTTTGATTACAAAAATTGAAATGAACCACACAGATATAGAAGATTGAAGGGATTTTTTTTTTTTTTTTTTTTTTTTTTTTTGTGAAAATTAAATTTATAAATACATTAATTGATATTACAAGTTATCAAAATAATTAGTAATACAATGGTAATTTGAAAATTCTAAAATAACTGAAGTTATTTTGCTTTTGTTTTACTCACGGAATTTTTTTTTCCAAATTTGTTTCAAAGGTTAATTGTTAATGATAAAATTTGATCATAAATCATATTCATGCTTTAATGATTGACTTTTATCATTTTTTCTTATTAAATTGTATTTTTTTCAATTATGCCTCAATAATGTTAATTTTATAAGAAACACTTTTTATACTTTTATAATTTATGTTTAGTTTTTTATTCTTTTATAGTTTACTTTTATCATTAATGTACGACCTATTTTTTTCTTATTAAATTTGAAAACTAAATTATGTTATTGAAATTGTAATTTTTATTATTATTATTATTTTAAGAATTAATAATCTTGAAATTTATGTTTTGTAAGGTATATAGTTATTTAAAAAATATAAATTTATGATTTATTAATAATAAAATAATATTTAATAAAAAATAAATTATAATTTAAAAAGAAAAAGAAATTTCTTTTATCTATGTCAAGGAGAAACCAAATTATTATACAACTATGAAATAATTTTACTCTAGTTCTACTACTACGACTTTATTTTTAGCATCTTATTATTTTTTCTTCAACAAGTAAAAAACCTTATTTTGAAATTTATGTGTATCAAATCCCACTTACTTGATTATTTATTAAGATTCAAATAATTTAGTTTTGTCTACCAATCTATAGGTGTACAAATTTCATGAGTATTTTTTTATTATAATTTTCTAACAAATTACAAAAGCAAACGCCTTCTTGAAATTTGTAAATAATTATAAATAATTTTTATGGATCTTCAAAAAATTATAGAATTTGTGACAAGGTTCTAAAATATTCTATGATTATCTTAATGTTTCTAATAACCTTCCATAGTCTTTTAAAAAAACAAATCTCAAAATTTTCTAGTTTCTATATTTTTTCTAAATGCTTCTATAGAATGTAGTTGTTATGATATAAATAAGAAAAAATTACAAGAAGCACTTCAATCATGATAACACAAGTTTTGAAGTAATCTAATTATTTTTTTATTTAAAGTATTTTTAAAATTAATCAATTATATATTTATTTATTTACTTACTTTTATTTTATATATCTTAATCTCTTAGTCTTTCTCTTTGTATCTTTGACATCTACTAAATTGATCAATCTTGCAATTACATCAATTTTTCAATTCAAAATTTAAAAAATTATTAAATTTTTAATTTTATAATAATTAAATTTTTGGTCCTAAATTTAGTAAATGGCATTCATTTTTCTTGTCATCTACATTGTGAGTAGGAATATTTTCAAACACATTTTTATTTTTATAACAACAATAAAATAGGACTTTATAATCTATTATTAGCTAATATATTTTTAAATAAAAAACACTAAGACTAAAATAATATTTTTGCTAAATAAATTACTAAAAAAGAATCTATGTAATTATATTAAAAAAATACAATGAAGAAAAGAAAAAATAAAATTTAATATATTTATGAAACAAAAATATATTAAAATAGCTATTTATAAGTAAAAAAAATAAAAAGAATTAAACTAAAATTAGAATATAAAAAAAATTCCTTGAAAAGTCAAAAGATAGATTTATTCTTGTTATTATACATAAAAACTAAGAAGAAGGCCATGCAGAAGGATTAAAAAGACCACAAGGCTTATAAGTTAAATATTTTAGTTTTAAAATACTTGAGAAGTGACTTCTTATATTTTCAAATCATATAAAAGAAGTTTTGATAGCTACATAGTATAACTAAAGTCACCTAAAGGTCTTATTTATTTTAAAAAGAATTTTTAATATTTTATGAAGGAATTATTATCTACTAAAATATTATTGTAAACTTTGATTTATTTTTATTTACTTAAATAGTCTTAGTAATTTTAAAAATCATAAAAGACGTCATTTTGGCTTATTGATTTTTTTTATTTAAATTACTTTTCAAGTCTTAAATCATTTTAAAAGATTCAATGTATATACACATCTATACATACTGTCAAGGACAAAAATCTCAAAGAAAGAAAATCCTCAATATACTCTTGTATCATTGAAAAGAACTAGAAAGTCACTCAAAAATTATATAATATTCAAGTAGAATGACTATTGCCAAAAACAAGAAGATTAGAAAGTCTTGAAAGAAGACTAAGGACTAAAAAGGCATTGACAAGAGTAAAGAAGGCTTCACTCTTGCCTCCATATATACTCTTATCTAGGAGCTACATGGCAATGTCTTATAGGACCTCCAAAATGTGTTGACTTTGCAAGACACATATCTTAACTTGCAAGGAAAATTTTCTATATGTATGCCACATAATTAGCTTATTTTGCAAGCTACTAATATATGATTAACTTATTGACCAAGTTTCTAACCTACCAATTAATTTTGAACACATGTAAAGTCAAAGCAATGTCTATGAAGCTTCTAGAAAGCTTTTCTAGAAGATATTATGAAATTAACTTATTTTTATTTACTTTTATCTACTTCTATCTAATTATATCGATAGTTATTAAAGGACCTTTGTATACACATGACATTATCTCTCTTTCCATAGACGAGTTCCACGAAGAGCAATCTTCATATTTTGAAAAAATCTAAGATACGGCAAATTATATTTGCCACATATTTTGATCTTTGTTATCTTCAAAGATGGTTGATAGGTCCTCTCAACCATTGATAGTATTCTATACCAAGGCAAAAAGACCACTTTATTATTTAATCATTGTTGAGGCTTTTATAACTTCATTCAAATAAAACATATAGAATATAATCAAGAGTTGTTCATACCTCTAATAAAATCACCAAAAATCAAAAGTCTCTTCTAAAGTTGTGCTACCAAACACATTGTATCTCGCCATCTATTCAAGGAAAGACGTGACGTTTTTGAAGATCTTCATCTCAATTTTGTCATCTTCAAGGTTGTAACAATTATAATATTCCATCAAATAAGTCCACAAATAAAAGCTCTTGAGTTGAATCTGGTGATTGTTGGTTCTCCATCTCTTTAGCGTTACAAATACATAGAAGCTACAAAGAAAGATATAAAGTAGAGTGTTATCTTCTTTTGATTTTGTTTCTTTTATTGCAAAGATTTTTTAATTTTCATCTTAGTTTTGATAGATGTTGTCAATGAAAACTTCAACTCTCTTTATTGCATTTGCAAGATTCTTTGTTTGCTTTTATGTGCATTCATTAATATCATATCCATGCCAATGAATAAGATATTTCAACCTATTTTGGCGTTATCTTGCATCTAAGACTTCTTCTACCTCAAATTCTTCATTATTATCCACTTCTATAAGAGGAGGTGGCGTTTGCCTTCTTCTTAAGATATTCATTGTCTTATATGGCTCAACGAAGGATACATGAAATATAGGATGGATCTTCATAGACTCTGAAAGATATAATTGAAAAGCAACAGGATTGACATATTTACTAATAAGAAAAGATCCAAGCCTATGATAGTCCAACTTTTCACAAGGACAAGTAGACTTGATATTGCGACAAAGTTACTATACCTTGTCACCTATGTTGAATTGTGGTTGTTCCTTGCAATATGCATCTGCATTAATTTTTTATTGTTCTTCACCTCCCTTTAACAACACCTTCATTGTTGCATATAGCTCTGATAAATGATTTGTCAAATCTTTTGCCACAAGATTATCAACTTTTGAAAAGTCAAAAGTATCAAGTGATGGATGATAATTATAATTGGCAAAGAAAGGTATTTATTGAGTAGAAGAATATTCAAAATTATTGTATGCAAACTCTACCAATAGTAAGAGTTATCCAATCATCTTGATGATAGTTGATAGTAGATAGTACTTCTCAAGTACTACTCCAAAACTTGATTCACCCATTTTGTTTGTCCATCATTTGAGGATGAAAAGCCAAAGAGAGCTTTATATCTACTTTTAAAATCTTGAAAAGGGTTCTCCAAAATCTTGATATAAATTGAGTCTTCTTATCTAATATAATATCTTTAGGTAATCCATGATAGCAATAGATGTTGTTAAGAAAAAACTTAGTTGTTTCTTCACTTATTATAGATTTTATATATGGTATAAAATGTGCCATCTTAATAAAAAAATCTACTACCACAAATATAGAATTATATAAATTTGAGACTAAAAGATCTATAATAAAAT